TATTGTCGGGACCGCAAGAAGTCTTAGTCTTTGAGTTCAACAACATAGCAACGACACCAGAATAAGAAATAAAGTTTACATTTGCCGCATTGTCCGCATTTATAACAGATGGGGAAGCACTAGGAGCAGAAAATACACTATGAAAATACTCATTGATGTGTTGAGCAATGGCAGCCTGATCAGATACCATTGAACCATTTACAAAAACCTGTGATATGGGTTTATTTTTTTCGCTAATATAGTTCCAGAACTTCTTTGGATCATTCTTTATGAAGTTTGCGAGTGACGTATTGAAGTAGTATTCCTTCGAGGTGTGTGCAACATGTGCAAGCTTATCTAGAGCGTCAGCTATAACTTTGGGGTCAGCATACTTTTTCTTTAATCTTATAACTTTACGCTTGAGATGAATGATGCTTCTCGTCATCCAGGGCGTATATGCACCTTTTTACGTTTAGACGGTAAAAATTTTTCGATACAGTAGAAGCATATGCGTTTAAATTGGTCCCACAATCTACAAACATCAGTACCTACGAAATCCATCAGACAGGTTTCTAGGTGCTCGATAATGCAAGCATCATTGGCATGTGTATAGTCTTTCACAAAATGAAAGGACGAGTTGGCAGTTTCCGAAAGCGGTACCAGAGAGATAGAAACTGACACAAGGTAGTGATCAGACAGCCCTTGATCAATTACTACGGTATGTGTACTGAAATTACTGAAATCACGGGGAATAAATACCAGATCTAAGATTGACCTAGCAGTACCCTGATAATGCGTTGGTTCATGAACCAATTGTACCAAATTATGTGCGAGCATGATGTCAAACACTGCATTTGCATTGCTGATATTGGCTGTAAAGGTTTCAAAACGCTCCTAATCTACTCCGGGGAGATTGAAATCGCCAATCAAAAGAACTTTGTTGCCATGGTATTTAGACATGTGTTCCTTTAGTTTTAACAGGTATTCAAGAGTTGAGTCCGGCGGTGTATATAATGCACATACGATGAATGAGTGGCCCCACAAAGTTACTTGAATACAGATACATTCAAGCTCCGGTACATCATCCAACAAGACAACATCAAATTTTTGTTGGATCAGGACGGCCACACCACCTCCCCTTGATTGCCTGTCCTTACGGAAAGCCGTATAGGAAGGTGGAAAATGTCGCCATCATTCACCTGTTTATGTAACCACGTCTGAGTTATAACAGTAATGTGAGGATCGTACTGCAGTAATAGGATTTCGAGGGGCTCGGTTTTATTCATAACACTGCGGGCATTCAAATTAAGTAGACGAAGTTGCTTGTGCGCATGCACATTACGTCAGGTTTTAGACTGTTGGGGTGCGGTGTTCTTGTAGCCGGTCATTTTTACCCGCCTCTTTTGCACCTCATTCCAAAAATACATATTCTTATCCATCTTTAGTTTATCGTGTATCAGGTCGATTCTTTTTCCTTGTTCTATCTCGGCCTTTGCGCTGTGCCAGAGCAGACTGCGTTTTTAGCGTTGATTTTGAGTAATCATTCTTAACAAAGATATCTGAGCCCTTCAGTTTGCTTGCGTTTTTCATTATCTATTTCTTTTCTGTAAAGTCTTGCAGATACACTATTACAGGCCGCTTTCCTACGTGTTTACCCAGTCGATGGATACGCCCAACAGATTCAGATTTAACCTGAAGTTTTTCTTGAAAAAGACCCTTCACAACCTTGTCCTTTAGTTCCTCTTCTGATTCTGCTGAGGTCTCAGGTATTCCATAATAATCGTACAAAAACCACCATATAATTATCATAGACGCCTTGTGGAGGGCTCCGGAAATTTCGACCACCTTGGGTTTTTTAACGTACACCCAAATCAGAGACATGGGCCTACAGCATTTTCGCCTCCATCGAGAATGCAGCCACCACAGCCGGGATTTGATCCCGTGACCGGCGGGTTATAATTCATGAGGATGGGTCTTGAGAAGATGTACCTGAAATAATTCTTTTTTTTTTCGCTCAGCCTACGTAAGGCCTGTTCTGAACGTCCTCCTCTCAAGCAGCAAAGAGTCACGAAAACAAACTTCTTTTCTACCAGAGCTTTATTGAACCATGGCATCATCACGTGGTGAAATGTATTGGCGGGATAGGTGGAGAGATGGCGCCCTGCACAGTGAACAGCACCCCGGAAATACAATCCACAATGTAGTTCAGGAGCAGAGGCTGTCACACAAAAAAACAGAAAAGACGAACCAGAAACGGAACAACACTCCAAGGTGAATCTTTGGTTTCAGCAGGTAGGCTGGCGAGAACGCAGTCGGTAAGGCACAACACCCAAAAAAGTTCGGCGCACATCTCACAACACGGATTATTTCAGTGTCTCAATCAGGAGGGATCTTCGGCTGGCGGCTTCATGCGTTCCAAGTTAGGGTCTTCGTTTATTCGCGTCGAGGACTGCGAGAGCTCGCGGACGGAACCAGACCCTGTCACGTGAGTTGCCAGAGACGATGCCCATTTTGGCTAACGTGCTTCGCACTGAATTTGGAGACACAGGCGTGGCAGTAGTGCAGCTGTCCCCTGCCCTCTGCATTCAACGATGTAGTCATGGGACCATGTACAAACTGGCAGAGATAGCGTGCACAAAGTTCAAGCACAAAAGATAGATAGGCGCTGCCAGCATCGCGAGAAACTGTTTGCAGTTCATCGCAAGTGTAAGCCCATGCTCACAATCCCAGAGTCTAGAATTTGGGGCACCCTTCACGTGCATCAACACTGACAGTCTGTTTTTGCGTGAGTCACAGTACCTTAGTATCACACGTAATAACGCATGAAGTATGCCATCAACTCTGGTCGCACAAAAGCTTAAGTACGATGCTTGAACTGTGCATAGTTCCGTCATAAAGGTTTATAGGATCCAAATTTTTAGACGAGTACACTGAGGACTGTGTAAATTTTGAATTGTGCAAGGCATCTTATGTACACCTTTTTTTCTGCAATTGTACATCGGGGACAGATGTAAAAAGAACACACGTCGTACCACAGTCATACTAAGATAATTTCTAAATGCACCTTCCTTCTCGCGGCAACGCAATTTCAAGATTGGTTTAGGTTATCCTCTAATTCCCAGCACTTCTTGTCCCCGAACGGACTTGACGAACACGCTGTAACCAGTTGTTTAACGCTCGGAAAAAAGCAGAGATATTTCACTGACTTATGGACACCACGTGGCACCTCGCTTTAGGAAACACTCACGTCACCACGCGCGATAGTGCAGCGTAGAGTCAGCCGTGGCGAATTGTGTTTCCAGGTGTATCCACCCCTGTCACATTTCTCGAATGTCCGTCGTCACGTCACACCACAACGTTTTGAGTCCTCCGTCACTTTCGACAGCGAGGAGCCAGGATAAGTACCACCACGTAGTCCGCGCATAGCTTCGACACACAAGAATGCAGCGAAGAGTATTAACAGGATACGTCACAGAGCAGTACATGAAGTCTCCAACTGTACAAGCGAACGAGGTTCTTAGATTACACAAGCTTGCCCTTCATGTCGCAAGTGTAGCACGGTCGTGCTTCAAACAGAAATTCGAATTCCTTCTCACTTTCGCCTCCATTTTCTCCAACCACAGTTCAGGAAAGCGTACGACATATTACTCTTGGGGGGAACCTTCCTCCCTTCCTCTTCTCTCTCTGTTTAAGCCATTTTTTGGCAAAAAGAAATGCAAATAACTGCCACATACACCTTCTCTGGGATATCAATCTTCATTCAGGGTGGCACACGTGAAAGTGCGATGACATTCCTTGCGTTGCTCATAAAGGTAAGCAGATGTTCTGACTTCTTCCCAGCTTCTCATACTAAGGGCAGTAGAGTAGTTGCGATGTTCGTGGCGTACGAGATAAGTTTACCTGATTTAAAGAACAGCTGCCCTTTGCCTTGTAGTAACACGCATGTGATTACCACACGGTAATTTCATGGCTTGCGGGTACAAATTGGCAGCAGCAAGCACAGGACCGAGTTAACTGGCGGAACATGGGAGAGGTCTTTGTCCTGCAGTGGACATAGTCAGGCTGATGATGATTTTATGGTACTATAGTACAGTCAGTTCAATCAATCGTAAATGGTTATAAAAGAGGTGACGTAATTGACTGCTCACATGTCCACGCAAGCGCTATAGATGGCACGCGCCCCCATTCGAAAAGCACACTACACAACAAAACTATGCAGCGGGGCTGTGTTTCGCATTATGCACAGGATCAAGTCTGTGGCCCTCGAATAGCGTGTGCGTGGAGTTATGACGTGCGCGCACATTTGGAGCTGATTGCTTAATCTCTGAAGTGATGAAGCCTTGCATTTCAGGTTATGTTGCACATCGTCTCAGCAGTATATCTAGGACTCGCCGACAGCCAAGCCTCACTATCAGTCAACTGGCCACCTAGATGAGGGTCGTAACAGCACTTTCGCGCACCGGTCCTCACTGTTACAAACTTTCACCCAATACTTTCATACGCTAGAGTGAAAAGTACAGCTACGAATCCACAGCAAAGGTCTGTACAGTGATTTTATCGAACAGACACAGTGCAATACTGTTCAGGTGGTATCCATATTTTGGTGTCAACGTTGCACTGCGGGTACACGTCCCATGAAAAAATGGCACAGCAAGGCAAAGCTTCCAGCGGTGTTATCGAAGTGTGCCCGCACTAGCCCAGTTTGTCACCACATACTCAGCGAAAAATCAAGTCTTCTTCAACGCTTTATCTATGAGCCGCATACGATGGTCCACCATCCAGTTGTGTAAAACACACTGCCGATATGTTGTACAGGCCCGCAGGAACACCGGCACATTATAGATTCCACGTCGTTGTAAGCGCCATAAGTGCTTCTCAGGGACTCACTTAATTGCGCACCGATCAGAGGATACCGATCGTACACGTCGCACGTTCTTGGTCACACACCAACGATCACACATTTCTCATGCGCAGTGGCACACTGTCTGCAGAGCACATCTGCCACACTTTCTTTCACGACGCTATCGGGGGGACAGGAAGTGTCCAGCCAGAGCCTGCGCCGTCCCGTATGCGCATGCACCGGAAGAAGCGTCCATCATCTGCGTCCTACCGTCCGCACCGAACAGACCCTGGTCTTGGGCCGTGGTCTGCACGACGTGCGTGAAGACTGGGCAGTTCTGGACGCCCAGTACGCCGCGTGTGGAGCAGTAGCCGTCAGCGTCGACGAAGCCGGCTGGAGCAGACCGCCGGAAGTCGGCGGCTGCCGCCGCAGTGCCATAGTTGTGGTTGCGGTACAGGTGGTGGTGGTCCACGACTCCCGCGTTGGTCGACATAGCACCTGAGTTGGCTGGGTGCGAGCGGTCGACGGCGGCGGCAGCCATGGAACCAGCCGAGCCGTCTAGCGGGTGTTCTTCGCGGCCGAAGCAGGAGCCCATACGGAACCGATCTTGGCCGAACTGGTCGGCAAACCTGCACGAAGGGTGAGGTTGCAATTGATTGTGAAATCACTGAGAGAATGGGCAAACAGATGGTAGCCACTGTAGTAAAAGAGATTTCAGTTGCTCAGGCATTGCACTGACTGTTAAGAAACGCGCGCAGTAAATACAAGGAAATTTCCACTAAGTTTGAAATCATTCTCAACAACAGAGGTAAAACCAGGGCATGGTCTTAGCCATAATCTTTCATTTTTTGGGGGTATATGGGGTTAAAAATTTTCAGGAAGCGGCTCAACCCCTCCACCATCCTCTCTCCCTCCTCCTTTCTCATTTGCGCCAGCGGGTAAAATTGTACGCAATCGCTTGCGTTTTTAAACGGTTGACATTCAGCGCAGTCACGAGAAAAGGAAGCGAACAGGTGCTTGTTATCACGTTATAGACGGTACTATCACACGAAGCGTAACTGCACAATGAGCTGTGACGTAGCACATCGCTTCTAATAGGTGACCGGTAAAATGGGAAATCGCAGGGAACTGTGGGATACGACGGCTTCCAGTTCGACACACTAGGTGGGTCAGCAGCGGCACGCACGCATTTCTGTAGCACTCCGTTGAAAAAATGCACCTGGCCGTGCAATGTGAGTGCCTTAGAAGTTTTTTTTGTCAACCGTGGCTGTGACAATGACAAGATACGAAAGCCATGAACGGTCCGGAAACGTTTTTGACGCACTAAAACGATCTGCAATGCTTTTTTGCTGCTCGGGGGTATTGTCAGTATGGCTAGCAGATCAGTCGATACATCAAACAGTTTTCTTTGTATGATATGTTACTGCAGATAAAAAGTCGCCATTTTAAAGATCTCAGGGGATGGAAATTACTGTAGCAGTGTGCTAAGAGTTCATTTCGGGATCGCTGCTTCGGCCGACATCGTCAATCGATCGGCATGAAGCGCAACATTTATTGAGTGCGTTGAGATATTCTTTTTTTCTAGCCTTCAGCGCGCTATAACATGCATTTCTTAGGCGAAGCCAGATGCTCATTTGAACGCTGATGTTGGTCAAGCTCCATGGCACGGCGGCACTGAAACAATGCAGTCAGACATAACCGGTGCCGAATAATTGAAACCATGCGCTTGTTTAACGCACTTCTTCCTTTGAGTGCCGTCCTGGCGCACAGTTTGACCAAGATAATCGCAAATGAACTCGTCCAGTTTTTTGTGTAAACTTACTCTTGAGCGAAGCTTTCGCGTTTTTTGTCATGTATATGGGTGAAATGGCCGGCGCTAATCTCGTATGGCAGGTGGACTTTGCCCACTCGTTCCCATATTATCTTTGCTATAGGCACGCCTGCGCGACAGTTTGTTTCTCAATATAATATTCGCAGCAAAGTCATGCGAAAGCTTTTTTCAGTGTGGAATACACACGTACTTGTGATAAAATGGTTTTCGCACACTCTGGCTTCAAAGTTCCGTACTCAAAGGCTACCTGTCGCTGTGGCTCTCTTCACAGTCGCGGCCCACCTCGTTTTTGTCTTCATTACAAGAGAATTGATACCTGCGTTTGCCTTGCACGCTCGAGTTGGAGCAATTAACGGCTGAACAACTGACCATGGTTTATCAGGACAAAGATAAACGGGTGACCAAACGCGCGAATCCCGGATAATCTGAGGCTAGCGGCGAAGCGGTTTGCCGTTGTCTACTTTTCTCTAACTGGAAGCCGGTAGCAGACGGTGTATCCCACAATTCCTCGCTCTTTTGCTGGTCACCTATTCTCCCAGAGTATCTCGTGCATCCGTTTAGAATGACTAAAGGTGAAAGTCATCCTTTCCCTCTCAGTCAAAGTTTTTCATCAATCTCCTCCCCCCCCCCCCCCTGTTATTGAAAGCTGTCGACACTAGCAAGGTGTTGCCCTGCATCCCAGGTAAGAGGCATTGCAATATCTCTGCGCCTGACGTCCATCCGTAATCTGGCCCACTGTGAGCAAGCAGCGATGTCATGAGATGATGCCATCAGCAGACGTCGGTGACGCTAGAATAACGTAAAATTTTTCGGTGCTTTGTGATGTCACGTTGTTGTCACATGGTGAAATGATCGCATTATGACGTTTTTTTTTTCTTCACTCGTGTTGACGCCGACGCTGACCTCGCAAAGTATCTTCAGGTCTCGTCAAACATCGAACACGCAGACGGTCGATTTTTGTGTTTAGTGACATACATGAGGCGTGCACCTTAATAGAATAAAATACAGGAAGTGAAGAAAAATTGGTACATTGGCAGAAATACTGGCATGTCTGACCTGTGTGCGTTCCAGGGTCCGGGACATGGTCCGTACTGCCCTCCGCCGGCTGGGTTGAGCCCTAGGTGTACGTATGAGTCGACCGTTGTCATAGCAACAGCGTGTGCGGATGCTTGTGCGGCCGTGCCCGTGGGATCTACTCCACCGCCGTATTTGCACGTGGCCAGAGACCGACTGGTTGCGCCACCTTCATGGCCTGAAAATATTTTTTTGTGAGTGCGAGATGGAGGGAAAACAATTAGGTGGAATGTTAAAATTCAACAATGCTATATTAAATACACTGCCTGTACAATGAACGTCACAGGAAGGTGAATCTACTTGCCACTATAGCAGTGTGTCAGACTGAAATCTGGTTTGCACGCCAGCAGATTTATCATTGAGGATCTCTCTTTAGTTTACTTAGCTGTATGCAAGCCTGTGGTGATGTGCTAAACACACCCACGCACACACACAAAAAAGAAGAAAAGAATGTCCGGAATTCAGTACTTCGAATATTTTAAGCTTAAAAATTTGATCGGAGTATCGTGGCGCAAAATTGCAAATGGTGCCGATGTCTTTTCTTTTGCGTTGTGCGAAAGTAGCCGAGGCACCTCTGCTGTCTTCCCTAGCCATTGGAGGGCTACGAAATTTGGGGTGGAAGAGTAGTTACTCGTGTTTACAACAGAATCCAAGTAATAGCATTCAACCACCAATCGCTTGCTACGTAATTAATTTTAATACCCTTAAAATGCGCGACTTCGAAAATTCTTCTAAGAGGTAAGTCCAAGTCCACTACGGAAGAGGTGTGATTTACCTAGACTGTAGGATGCTTTATTTATAGCTTATGCCAACAGGTGGTAGAGCTTGGTAGCTTAGCTCATTACATATTGTACGCTAACAAGCTTGCGTAGGATATTGTGCTGTGTACAGTATGCGATACATACGCATTACATCCTGTGTACGCAAATCATTTATTATTAGTAACAACAAAGACAACTTAGTTGGTGGATCTGCTTAATGTTATGACAGTGACAACGATAGGAGTGCTCAGGGTTGGCCTTCATTGGGAGTGGAGGCTCATCGCCGTACCCCCCTCCCCCCCCCGATCAAGTCAAAATGCGGAACGAACTTCACGCCCCCCCCGCCCCCTTTTTCTTCAGGTGATTAGGGGGGGGTGCCGCCTTTTCCCGCCTCCCTGAGCACGCCTATCGTGATAAAAGTACAAACGAGTTATACCTCATCGCCCTCCATGCTTGAAATTTTTCGGGAGATGAACAATGGTGTGTGGATTCGTGAAATCACCACTATAAGTTGGTTAGAAGTGGATCTGTCATCGATACGATCTCAGCAGGGCTACGTAAATTCTTGATAACATCCGCATATGACATGTTTTTGTTAGAGGTACAACTTCCTTCAATACAACTTCTATCACATTTATTCCCAAACTGCACGAAAGCAGCACGTTTTTAAAACGAAGAACTTTGCACCGCGATTGCTGACAGCGCGTATACAGGACCGACCAAGGAATTTTTTTATAATGGGAATGCATTTCTTAGTCGGGGTTGTCGTGCGTCCCCGGTCGGCGTGCGCACAGATCTCTCAGCGCGCGCTCCTCCTCGCACCTAGCAACAGCTGCGCCGCGCCTTGCAACAGCAGCAGGTGGTGAGCGGTGGTGGGTAACGGAAAGGAGGAGCGCGCGGGTGTGTGATGGTGCTCGCATCGCGGAGCAGCTAAGGTCCCTAGATGAAACTTGTTTGATCTAGGGGCATTAGAAGTAGCGGTACTGTGCCTAAGACACTGTAGCAGTGGAGGGTAAGGGAACGGAGGAGCGTACCCGATGAGGGCGCTCGCATTGCGGAGCTCGCTCGGCGGAGAGCTCGGGCGCTCTTCCCCTCCACGCTTGGACCTATATATATATCATGCACAGAGCACGCGCTTTGATGTCCTGATAGCGATGGAAGTTGGTGTAGTCGAATCACTCGCTGCAACAATATACTAGGACGAAGTGTAACACAATGCAACTCGAGCATTGCGCTTCTCCTTGGTGCTGGCGTCACCGCAGTTGCTTCAACGTCATCATCGGTTGGAGAAGAAGACACTGCTGCGAAGCGAAAAGTGCGTAATGCCGAACGCATGCACTTGAAGCGAGTCGCTGATGCGGAACTCCATGCTCGGGAAACCGCTGTGAAACGCCAACGTCGAGTCTAAGATCCTGACATGTGTACATTCACATTTCTTCACGATCGGGGAGGTGCGGCATTTTTTGTTTTGAAAAAAAAAAACGGCTACCTCACGTCACTGATTGCATATTCCTGTTTTAAGCATGTGTAGCGCTGATATTTTCCATTCCTTCTAGCCCCCGTTAAGTTGTTCCCTAGATGTAGGATAAGAATGCGGAGTTTCAATGCCTTGATATAAAAATTTTATTCTGATTGCTTTTTTTTCCTGCTTGGTAGAAGTGATATGGAAGTACTACAAACGTTCTAACAACTTTCTTTGAAGCTTTCAAGCTGTTCGAGCCGGGCTATAGGAATATCATTTCTACTTTTATACACAGACAAATTGTAATATATTATCCGTATTACTGCAAGGCCACCATATTGTTCACTGCTTTCAACAAAACTGGCAATTATGCATTTTTTTCAGAAAGAAAGTTTCCTAAAAATTAACTTATTCATTTAGCCTTTATTTTTCTGACGCGCAAAATAAGTCATCTTTCTAAACGTTAAACAGAGTGACTGTACATGTAATCAAGTGGACTTTCCCAAAATCATGTGATTAACACAAACGGGATCATCTAAGTGACGTCAAAGTGTAACTCCACTGCTAACGCGATGTTTGCAGCGGTCTTAGTTGAAGGAAGGGCGAAGCTTCTTTCGGGGAGACAAATACAAAATACCTTAGTTTTGTTAGATTCTTTAGCACTTCATTCTGCTGCTATGAGGAGGATGAAGTAGATAACGCTTTGGCTACTCCACTTATCCATGTGATGAGGAAACAGAAATTTCATTTTACTACCACAGAAAACAAGCGATCAAACATCTTAATTTCTTAAACAGCCTCCTGATATTGTAAATATATGATCGCAAGAGCTTCATGACATGTCTTCTTATGAATACACTGCAACGTTATCCGGTTTCACCGGGCGTTTCTCGAGTTCTGTATAAGGGCTCATTTTTACCGTCCTTGTTTTTTTACATTTCTTTCATCGCTCTAAAACTGATTAACACAAGGGCTCGTTATTTAAACCACCGTTGAAGAATTAACGATTTACATGTAACTTTTTTATATTGTGTTCTTCATTTTTTTCTGTTTTTTGTTATGTACGTCCTACGCACTATTCGTGGCTGTCATTTAATAAAGGGGCATCCACCTAGTCAAGCGAATACGGCGAGTAGATTCTCACAACAGCTCCTTTTCTTCAGCGTCGAATGAGAGATAAGTAAGACGTTCTAATTATTTTAATTTATTCTCCATCGCGTGTGCCTTCGTCACATAACGATATGCCGACTCAGTGGCCGCTGGCGCTCACCTCGTAGCTGTGGTGCGCAGTCGATGCCGCTGGTTTGCGCCACAGAGCTGAGGGCGTCGTGCGCCAAGGTGGCCGCAGCCGAGGCGCCCAGGAAGCGACCCGTGGCAGCCGCAGCAACGGCCACGTGCTGCGGTGTCGTCGGAGGCGTCGGTGGCGAGGCGCACTGACCTACATGATACAATGTGAGAGATTGAGAGAGAGAGAGAAATAATATAGAAAAGAGGAAGGCAGGGAGCTAGACCAGTCGCTAGGATCCGGTATGCTACCCTGCACTGGAGTTAAAAAGTAAGGGGTTGAAAGAGAGATATAAAAAATAAGTAAGAACAGAAGGTGGACCCAGGCAAGCACACACACAAAAAAATAATATGGACCATCTTCCTGAAGAGAACCCTTATGGGATGCGAAGGAGCCACGGCGCGCACGGCGTTGACCCGGTTGAGATGCATCATTGACGCGGGTGCTGGAACGACGATTTGAAAAGAAACTCGGTGTAGCGTTTACTGGAGTAAACGTTTGTTTGAAACGCAAAGACACGGGAAGTGGTTTTGATTTCGTGTAAGTTTGATAGCAGATAAACGAGCCGGAAAAATAGACAGATTTAGTCACACATACGCAGCAGCCGTTCGGACTCAGCCGGCTAGCCATTTGCAGTGGCAGGCCGCGTCCACACGGCTGTTGCGGACGCGCAAATAAATCTGTCTAGTGTTCCAACTCGACGTGTGGTCGAGCATTGCCGGCAGAGGAGAGGGTGAAGCGAGAGAGAAGTGTGTTGTGAGCGGGCGGAGCAGGCGGCAGCTGCTGTGGATGAGGGAGAGAGTGACATCAATGCGCAGCTGCGACTTGCCCTACTTTGCACCGCTCCCACACCTGCAGCAAGGGGGTGCACGGACCCACGGAACAGCGTTACGAAGGCTAGTGAAAGAGCTGCTTCACATCTAAAGCAATCAACTCATGCTGAATCCCAATAACGTAGTCGGAGCAGCCGACGGGCTCTGCGAGCGAGCACTCGGCTTTGGCGTAAAGCAATGCCTTTACATCCGCGATTGAAACACAATCCGCACTGCCGTACCAAGTATGCGGAAGTAGAAGCTGAAGTCCTTGAGTGGCCCAGGATGCCTTGCGTGTAGTATGCCATTCCGCTTATTCCGCTGTCTAATTCCGTTGAGTTACTGTTCGTACGCGGTAGTCCGTTGTCACTCTGCGACGAAGTGATTTGCCCTGTCGGCCATGTCGTCTACCATTACTGCTAAAACGTGCGACAGCTTCGACAACCCCCAAGCCAGCGTCACTCACAGAGTGGTCAAACACACCATCCCGTCACCGTCACCGGAGTTCGGTACGCCAAGTACCAGCCCACTCCGCCGATTTCGGTAGAGCAACTTTTGCTGCTCCTTGGAATAACTCCCGCTTTGAATCCACTAAGACTTTATCATTAGAACGCTTGATTCCCGCGCTCACTCAGCCATCGAAACACACTTGCCGCAAAAGCAGCAGGCGAGAGACAGTGCTTGCACGGCCGTATTCTGCGACGTTGAGTCTGGACGATGACGTAGTATTCTTTCCTCTGGCAGACGCTGGCCATCTAACTTGTTGAGTGTATAGTGAGAGATTCAATGAACGAAAGCGCTTTGCTCCTGGAGCGTGTAAGTTACCATCATCACCACCATCACCCTCTTGAATACATTCACTGGAGGGCAAAAATTTCTCCGGTGTTCCGCCAACCAATCCGATCATCTGCCCTCTACTACCGCGTTATCCCCGCAGGCTTCAACCTCGTCTGCCCACCGAACTTTCTGCCTACTCTTCGTGATCTTGCCTTCTCTTGGAATCAAGTCATTCCAAGTGACTAGTGGTTATACTGCCTACACGCTATACATGCCCTGGTCATGCTCATCGCTTTGTCTTGATTTCGAGTGAACTGCATTTAACACTTCTTTTTTCCCTGAAACACTCCGCTCTATTCCTGGCTTTTAAAAGGACACCTATAATCTTCCTTTGCATCGCTCGCTACGTCGGCCTCAAATTTAAGTTTAACCCGTTTTGTAAGCATCGAGGTTTCTGTTGCGTAGACAAGTACCGATAAGATGCAACTGTTTTACAACTTCATTTTGATGAATGGCCTGATGAGCCCAAAATAATACTCGACCACATCTGCCTGTCCAGACTCCGCTTCAAGTCGAGGAGGTGCCCCTCGCCTCGAAAAAAAAATTCTGCCCACGCCCGTGGTTGACCAAGCTGCGTCGTCATGAGGTGACGTTATCACGTGACGTCAAGGTGCCGTCATAATTGCGCCAAAAATTGGTGATCTGTGACGGCATGATTACGCCACGTGGTTAAGTCATCACGTGATGCTAATGTTTCGCGTCACTCGGATTGACGCCGACATGGTACGCCGGTCGGCTTTCGCATTTGATGAGACATATAAAGCTTTCCCATAAAAAAGAAAATATGTCGTTGTACGTGTTGCGGTTTCCTGATGACGCTCGTCGTGACTGGGGACATTCGGGTTAATTTTCAGCAAAAGCGGTTTTTTGGGACAGGTATTGTTTTCTCAAACAGTCTATAGTGTCAAGACTACCTTGGCTATAGTTCGAAAACTTTTTGAGTGCACCAGTAACGAGTGACGTGCTTTGCTATCATCCATGCTGCCTTGTGAGGTATCGGTGTGAGTCATCCGAATGCCTTCATTAAAAATAAATATAAAATGTATTGGTGTATCTAAGGGTTGCTATGATGGTGTGCACAATAAGGTATGTAACAACTTATTTGGTGTCGCATACTTGATATGAATTAGTATAAGAAGCAATATTTATAAACTGTTCGGTAATACGGGTGCAGAAATTATGGTTGTGGTTTAAGTTGAGCGATACATTTTCAGGCTACAGCCTTAGACGCATCGCCAAATAAAAAAAAAATGTGGCTGGCTGCGTCAACAAACACCGCAAGAAGTCACGTGATCTAAAGTACGACACGATCACAATATGCGACCGCACCTGCATGTTTGCTGGAACATGGGGCGACCACGGTTGGGCACCCTCGAGTTTGCACATTTACAGCTTCAGAGTGACTTATGCTTCTTCGCATGTGCTAAAAACAATCCCTTTAAAACACACCAGGAGATGTGTTTCGAAAAAGTGTATAATGGTTTAAAGTACATGCACATGGTTCCCTACTATAGAAGAACGTTAAGCCGTTCCAACGTGTTCAGGTGAAGCTAAGGACTTCTCTATGTTTAGAAAAAGTGGGTAACGATTTAGAATACTGGGTATTCTGCGATGGCAGAGTGGGAAGCTGCCCCGGAACCGAATACTGTAGCGCTGCTGATGAAACCAGTTAGGCGAGGTCACAGTTCACTTAAGTCATCATGAAAAGCACCCATGCTTGATCTCGTTATGCTTCAGAGTTCGGCTGCCTATCGAAATACATTTACTTATTGCATACACAATGAAAAATACGAAAAAAAAGAAATTAAGTTTCCATTCTTTTTTTTTAAAACAAAATGTGCTTGGTGCATGACAGTCTCTAGTTGCTTATCCATTATTAAACCAATCAAAGAAGTGGGAATTCGGCTGCCTGCTAATGTTTATAATTACGTATCTTGTATCACTGGTGTTGTCTTCTCCATACCCTTGTCATGCAATTGTGTATACGTGGGTCAGACAGGTCACTGTCTAAATGTTAGGCTTCGGGAACATCTTAATTCTCGAAAGGCCAGTCCGGCCTTCATTTAGCAGCCCACTGCAGGGAATGCGGCGGCGTGCTACTCTTTGATGAGACTTCTGTGCTGTTTCGGCATAAAAACCAAAGAGTGTGCGAGCTTATTGAGGCTGTGCATATTCGCAAGATGTCCGAGTCATGCGCCAGTGTTCCCTCTGTGACCATACATGATAAGGAGTTGTCCTATCTAGGTTTTGCATGACGTACGTTCTTTCCTGAGGTTGCCCAAATTATAAATGCGAAGCATTTCTTGGCGAACTTCGGCGACTGTGAGCGTATCTATCTATCTATCTATCTATCTATCTATCTATCTATCTATCTATCTATCTATCTATCTATCTATCTATCTATCTATCTATCTATCTATCTATCTATCTATCTATCTATCTATCTATCTATCTATCTATCTATCTATCTATCTATCTATCTATCTATCTATCTATCTATCTATCTATCTATCTATCTATCTATCTATCTATCTATCTATCTATCTATCTATCTATCTATCTATCTATCTATCTATCCAGCCACCTACGACATTTTAGCTCTCCTGGCCGTTTCGATAATGGTATCGATACCAAACTTGGCATGCCATACCATGAGTGTATGAAGAACATATACGACTAGTCATAACTTGAAAATCATGGCATCAATGTCATGAATGCCATGATTAACATTTCACGGTCCTGCAGCTCTTGCAGTGGTTTCGATCACATGGCGTATTGCAAAACTGGTATGTTATGACATGATTGCATGGCGAGCACAAGCGACAGACCCTGAAATGAAGATCATGACATGCGTGTCATGTAACAACATGACTACATGCCACGCTCTTGAAGCGCCGGTGGCCGTTTCACTCGCATCACTTATACCAAATTCGGTATTACGCGACGTGAATGGATTACGGAGGTATGATACTGGTGCAAATATGATGAACATGAGATGCGTGTGATGTAACAACATGACTATGATGCGCTCGTGGCCGTTTCCCTAGCTTCGCATGTACCAAAGTCGGTATTACGCGACACGAATTGACGACATAGGTAAATGACACATCCAAACATGATAATCACGACATGCGTGTCATGACACAACATGACTACATGCCATAAGGATGATACACTCGCGGCCGTTTCAGTAGCTCCACATATGCTAAATGCGGTATTACGTGATGCCAATGGATGACGAAGGTATGTGACTGATGCAAACATGATAATCATGAAATGCGTGTCATGTGAGAACATGACTACATACCACAGTCAAGGCGCCAATACATGAATCGCGATACATGAAATAGGAATCGTGGTGTGATCGTGCGACGCACTTGTTCGTGTTTCGAAGTAGTGAAGTCCCATTTGATTTTTTTTTATGCAGGAGCCTTGGCTGTAGAAGCGAGCGAATGATTGACAAATACAAGCAGAATATCCTTTGGGTTGTGCCCAAGGGATGCGCAAGCGTAGTGTTATTAAGGTAAACGGTTAAGCGGCATCGCCAAATAAGAAAAGAGACCGTTGTCGTCGGTGACGGAGAACAAATTGCGATGTAACTCTATACTCAAGTGTTCGTGAAGTGACGACAACTTCACAAAAGATGTAGTGACGTGAATACATCAACACCGAATTGTGGCACGGTCAAAGGTGTAATAATAAGGGGTGCCATATAGAACACCAGATGGGCTGTTGAAAGCCTACGAGGCTCTTGATTCTGGGAGCCATACAGAACAATGTCAGATCAAGAGTTGTTGTACGCAATGCAAAGGAAGACGCTAACTTCAACGCTGGAAGGCATCGCATGACCATCACTTAGTAAAAGCAGCGTTTCGCCAGTAATGAGCGGCTAAATGGCATCAAAAACTGCTACAAGGGCTGTTCTTTATTGTATCAAAAGCACTGGACTGGATACTATAAGCTGTGTACTGTGCTGGCTACTGTACATAAGAAACACCTCTTTCTGTCCCCATCACCACTCTTAATCCCTTTTTTCTTCCCTTTCTCTTATTCCCTGTGTTGAGAGTCAGACTAGAAAGCGCACTAGTTCCAGCCGACTTCTCAGATTTGTAATAAATTCTCACTGTCTCTTTCTCAAGAGTCATTCAGAAAGGTTGGGTGTCACAAACGAGAGCTCAAGAAAGCGCACGCCGAATTCAAGGGACGGCGACAATGCTAGGCGCCGTTCGGAAGTGTCAGAAGCCAGCATTAAAGAAGAGAACAAGCATCGAAAAGACTCCTCAAGCGTGCGCTGTACGTCGCCCTAATGCACGAATGTCACACGCGCGTCCAGCGCTCCTCTTGCTAGCGACCTGTGGTCCGCCGCGGACGGCTCTCTTCATCCGACAATATATATATATATAATTTTCGAGAATAGTGCAGTATAGGAAACAAGGCAATAAAATATTGATTTAATCCTAACAGCTTCCGATGGTGTACCAGCCTTCCTCGGAGGATCTAAGCGGAATGATACAAGTTTCCGTAGCAGAGTGCCACCCTCACAGTTTGGAGACCCCCAAAACGAAAAAAAGAATAAGAAAAAAAACGAGACAAATGAGCGAACAAGGCATGTAACAGACAACAAGAAGAAGAACAAGGAGAAGAAGAAGAAAGGAGTGACGGAGAGCCACCGGAAGCGGGCGGCTAATCCATGCATTGTTTCTAGGGATAGATAAGACGCGCTGCCAGCTGAGGCAACCAAGGAAAAGGGAAAAAAGTGAAACATATTGCCGCTTAGTCGCATCCCACACATGGATCGAGTTAAAGTTCACGTGGTTCGGCGGCTGGCCCGCGGCGTCGGGCCACACAAACATGCGACCCACTCCAGCTTTAGGAAAACATTGGCCACGATGCAAAGCTAATGTGCCCTCTCCCCCTCCTCATCTCATCTGCCCTCTGCTGCAGAAAAGTGTATAACGAGTAATACTCAAAATAAATGAATAGATGTTCTTTTAAAGGACAAACAAACAAAACATAAACAAATAAATAAAGCTACCTAAAAATAAAAATAAAATCTAATAATACTAACACGGGTCGGTTGATGCACATAGCATCGAATTCGTTTATTTTCACGTGCTATATTGATCATCCTATGCGTGCGACTTCACATATGTACAAATAAGTTAATTGAGTAATTCACTTTCTGTATTTTCCGATGGAGGCGGAAATGTTGTAGGCCCATGTGCTCAGATTCTGGTGCGCATTAAGGAACCCCAGGTGGTCTAAATTTCCAGAGCCCTCCACTACGGCGTGTCTCATAATCATATGGTGGTTTTGGGACGTTAAACCCCACATATCAATCAATCACTTTCTGTGTTTCACGAAACTTCGCGGAGGCACGTCAGTCGCCCAGGTCTCTTGTTGATTCTGTGAGTAAGTGATCTGAATTTCTTTATGAAGTACGACTCTAGCTGTTCGCGCTCCCATGTGTTCTGGAAGCCGGGTTGTATAGGAGTATGACACTTACGCGTCCGAAAGAGTGACCAGGGAGGTTGATATGTTTGGAGAACGGCAAATTGGGGAGGCCCTTTACGTGTGTCCGGTGGTTGTTGAAGCCCAAATGGAACGCGGTTTCCGTGTGTCCAACATATTCCTGCTTGCGCACCCCACAGCGAATTTTGTATACCACGTTGGCTGAGTGACAGTTAAGGTCGCCTTTAATTTTGTACACAAAGGCTGAACAGGAGGCTTCGGCCGTATCTGTGGTCACCATGTGTGTGCGCATCCTGCAGCGAGGTTCGGGTGCGCAAACCCTGATGCAACAGCCCTTACAACATGACTCGGGGCCACGCGGGGGCTGCCGGTGACAGTGCTTCTCCCCCACGCAGAGACTGACCCAACAACTCGTCAGGTACGGCCCGCTGCAGCAGATGTTCTTCTCGTGAATTCATGGCCTTAAGAAAGAATGTTGATAAGCGCGTGAGGTTTGAAATACATGCTTAAAACCTGGAAACATATATTTCATCGGAATTCCCACCAAAGGGCCTCACTGTTCAGCTGCAACCCGCAATGAAACACGTCTGGACGGCTTCTAGGTGACGAAGCGCCACCTTGCTTTGAGGAAAAAAAAAGGCTAAGATAAACAAGAGTAACCTTTATTTTTTTAGCTCATATTGTGTTAAAATCTAAAAATAAATTAATGTTGCTCACATTGAGCGTTTGAAGAAGTGCAAAGTGCATTCTTCAGGGCAGACGACAATATGGGTGATATCCGAACTATCGAGCAGTTAGCTGAGCCGCCATCTTCTTTGGACAGCAAAGTAGCCTGCATCGCATTTGTCTATGATGCCGTATTCTCGAAGCAGTCTGTTTGCTGGCTACGTGAGAACTGGAATCGGACTTCACATAGCCGCCGTCCACTTAGCTGTCTATTTAGCCGTATACAGTGAGTATTGAAACACACTCATATCCATGATTGCTCTTTAGCATATTTTTAATAAGTTACCCCTATGGCCACAGTGTGTTGATTGGTTATCGTGGTATAGAACTCAAAATACGTCGAGAATTCAGTCACATTGAAGGTTGAAATCGGCCATATTCATATATTTTTTGGATTCCTGGCGCTAATCTTCTCCACAGAATTGAATTTCTCTCTATAATACACGGAAGGACCCTGCAAAAAGCAACCCTTTCTGACATTTTGTACAAACTGCACCCACCCCCTTTCCTATATTGTTTGCTGATTGGCCCTTGCAGAAATAAATTTTTGTGGCTACACCCGCCAGCTCGCTTTCCCAAGGATGTTCTCAATAAAGTTATTTGTGCTGTGCCCAGTGGCGTAAGCAGAAATTTGTTTCGAGGGGGGGAGGAAGGGGTCGCAATCTGAAATTTAGGGGGGGGGGGGGCGTAGGCAAGCCTCGTTCAGTGTCATTCCGTGCTCTGTCCTCCATCGCAGAAAGAGCTTTCTGAAACAGCCCGTACTCAGCATTCCACCCCCCAAATGGCGTCACTAATCGTACCATACCTAGCCAACGTGATCCGAGAAAGTACACCTACCTCGGTTGTAGGGTGAGGTGGCAGGAGGGCAATGTCCCGTGTTGAGCATGACCGGCTGCAGGCCACCGGTCGTCCCGCAGATCATGTCCACCTGATGCTGCTGCTGTGTGTGATGCTGCTGTTGCTGTTCGGCCAATGAGGAAGGAACGCACAATTCTACGGACGCCGTGGATCCTTCAGGGGCAGACGCCGTGCGCTGGGATTGTTGCTGCTGTTGTTGCTGGCTTTGCTGCGATTGGCTGCTGGCCCTGCGCAGTGATGAGTCAACGCCGGCAACACTTAAATCAAGGAAATCATTCAGGAGCCATAAAATAAAAGCATGCAAATGCAGAGGAGAACAACAAGGTAGAAAGTTACGCTTGTCTCTGTCTCGTCCTATCTATCTAATCTATCTATCTATCGTATCTATCTATCTATCTATCATCTATCTATCTATCTATCTATCTATCTATCTTCTAGCTATCTAGCTAGCAGTCTATCTATCTATCTAGCTATCTATCTATCGTATCCATCCATCCATCCATCATCCATCCATCCATCCATCCATCCATCCATCATCCATCCATCCATCCATCCATCCATCCATCATCCATCCATCCATCCATCCATCATCCATCCATCCATCATCCATCCATCCATCCATCCTCCATCCATCCATCCATCCATCCATCATCCATCCATCCATCCATCCATCCATCCATCCATCCTGACATAACTATATGACGAACAATAGTAACGAGTCATAACATGGAAACAATGGCGTGTATGCCATGAATGTCATGATATACATTTCATGGTCTTGTTGCTCTTGCGGAGGTTTCGTTCAAATGACAAGTTGCAAAACGTGTATGGTATGACATCACTGCATGACGAACACTAGCGACGAACCCTCACATGAAAATCATGACACACATGACATGTAACAACATGACTACATAATACACTCATGACGTGGTCACGGCCGTTGCAGTACCTTCGCATGCCAAATTTGGTATTACGGGACGTGAATAGATGACAAAAGTATGTGACTGGTGCAAACATGATAATCATGAGATGCGTGTCATGTAAGAACATGATTACATGCCCCAGTCAAGGCGCCAATACACTTCGACGTGACCCGGCTCACGTGCGCGCCGACGTTCGTTTCGTCGCGTCGTTCCGGCGATGCCACGCCAGGCGCCGATCTGTCTGCTATATACTCGTCGGCTCGCGCCACGCTGCGTTGCTTTGACGCATGCGTGTTTAAGCGCGCCCAGCGTCCCTCCGTCACGAAGAAAGGTAGACGCGGTGCTGTCTGGGTAATGTCGTCGGCGCGAAATACAGCATGTCGCATATCGCGCTGGTGGCCGCCGGGCCGCGCCGACGGACGCTGGCCACGTCGGCCGCGCCTGGCGTCCGACTATATAGTGCTCGCGTTCTGCTAGCGTTGCGTCGCTGCGCCAAGCTTGTGCGCGCGTCCACGTTACGTCGGAGTGATTGGACTCTTCATGATGCGCTCGCCGCCGTTTCGCTGGCTTCACATATACCAAGTTTGGTATTACAGGACGTAAATGGAAGACGAAGGAATGCAACTGACGAAAACATGGCAATCATGAAACGCGTGTCATGTAACGAGATGACTACATACCACAGTCATGATGTGCTCGCGGCCGTTACACTGGCTTTACATATACCAAATTCGGTATTTCAGGACGCGAACAGACGATGAAGGTAAATGACACGTGCAAACATGATAATGATGACATAAAAGTGATGTACGGCATAATATACCTCCAGTGACCTGCCAACTCTTTCGGGAGTTGGGGGGGGGGGCAGACCTACCTCACTTGTGTGTGTATATATATATATATATATATATATATTATATATATATATATATATATATATTATATATATATATATATATATATATATATATATATATATATATATATATATATATATATATACTATATATATATATATAACAAAACATACAATCGGCAAGCTCTGATTTATCAACTTACAGTAAATATTCAATTACCTCTGTAAAGGCACGTTTTACTTTTCACGGTTTATTGCCGCTAAAGCTACAACTTCAAAGTGTCCATAAGCAAGGCTGATCAGGTTTATCTGAGACTAAAAAACAATTTTTTGCGTTGCATAGTGAAAAAAAAAGCTTAAACATTAATAAAGACTCCTCACACTCATCGGCTCGCAATAACTTCGGCAGAGCAGCAGTGGGGATATACGCTTTTCGAAGAAAATTATTTTCAGGAAGCCGCGAATGATTTGACCGATCCATAAAACATTTGCTTGTTCCGATCAGTAAGTGCATCAACAAGTCACAGCAGAATAAAAACATGAACAAGTGATGTAATATTAAAGGGCTTTGTTCAGCTCTTGCCTGCTCTGCAATACTAAAGCACAGGACGTGAAAACGTCGCATAGGTGACCCGCACCGCAAAAAAACCTACTAGGAAAATCATCACAGCGAAAATGTTGGCGAAATTTCACTATGTTTTAACATTGCCTCGCAAGATTTCCATTCTCCCGTAAGAACATAATTGAGTTATTACTGTTGTGATAGAAAACTTTGCCTTACTTGTTGGTTTCCCCAGCGTGCAGCCGAGAGTGACAACTGTCGAAAGTGGGGAATCTGGTAACTCAGCCCCCGAACGATCTTTGGGGGGGGGGGGGGAGAGAACTCACGTTCCCCTCGCCCCCATCCATCCATCATCCATCCATCCATCTATCTATCTATCTATCTATCTATCTATCTATCTATCTATCTATCTACTATCTATCTATCTATCTACTATCTATCTATCTATCTATATCTATCTATCTATCTATCTATCTATCTATCTATCTATATCTATCTATCTATCTATCTATCTATCTATCTATCTATCTATATCTATCTATCTATCTATCTATCTATCTATCTATCTATTCGTAACGTTGTGCTGATTTTAAAGTGGCATGCAACTTTCCTCATTCGTGCTTCACATATGATCGATTCCCACTGTACGTGGCATCTGGTAATATTCCTGGTTACTTGCTTTCTCTTAACCTTTGTTGTTGTTCACAGATGTTCTGCTTTCTACATCTGCTGTAGATGCCGGGCGGTGGTTTATGGGGGAGGGGGGGGGGCTTTGTGCGGTGCTAAGGTGCTTCGTCCGCAAAGCTGACTCTGGTAGGCAACATTGTTTCTGTAACCGTGCGTTAACCGAACAAGGGCTGTCATCTTACCTTGATGACGACGCCTGAGAAGCTGACGAGGATCGCCCCTTGGACCTCGTCTGTCCCTGCTGCTGTTGCTGTGGTGGTTGCGGGGTGGGCGGTTCGAATCCTTTCAGCGGTTTCCTGCGGCGAGGCTGGTACTTGTAGTCCGGGTGGTCCTTCTTGTGCTTGCAGCGCAGACGCTCCGCTTCCTCCATGAAGGGTCGCTTCTCGTCATCGCCAAGGACCCTGTTCGGGAGGTTTCGAGATAGTCGGCATTCGTAACTATAGTAACGCAGAGACGTTTAGCCCGTGCACGTTACATAATGGTTGGACGTTTTGTAATCATCATCATCCTGACTACGCCACTGCAGGGCAAAGGCCACTCCTATTATCTGCCAATCGACCCAGTATTGTGCTTTCTGCCTAACCTTATCGGCCCATATAACTTCCTCTTTCCCCCTCGCGCTGTTCGCCCATGTCACGTTTCTGTGGCCTGAGTGGCATGCGAGTCTGAGTTTAAGTAAATTATCCTTCTTTCAATCACGTCTGGTGTATTAGACAACGCTGGCATTGAATAGACGAGGCGTTTTAAAAAGAAAGATAATTTACCTAAACTCAAGACATACATGTCGCACAGGTCACACAAACGCCACGTTCAAAGTATCAAGGTAATGTTCATTGTCGATTTCCGTGCTGTACTACCTGATGGGGCGCATTACATTTCGAACGCTGCGTACAAAAAGCAAAGCGAAATGTTGTAGGCCCGTGTGCTCAGATTTGGGCGCACGTTAAAGAACCCCAGGTGGTCAAAATTTCCGGAGCCCTCCACTACGGCGTCTCTCATAATCATATAGTGGTTTTGGGACGTTAAAACCCCACAAATCAATCAATCAATCAATCATCAAAAAGCAAAGCGATTATTCCGTACGCAATTCTAAAATTATCGACGAGACAGAAAGAAACAGCACACCACAAGGCTATGCTATGCCCTGCTGCGATGTCTGAGCAGCTGTGTGGTTACGCCACTTGCCTTTAGGATGGTGGGCGTGCGTGATCAAATCCCACTTTGCCGGGAAATGTTTTCGCCAATATTTTCTCCCTTGCCTTCCTTTCTATCTATTTCTTTGTCTTTCTGTCTTCGCTCTTACCCGTTTTATCATCCATCAAAATTATCGCAACCCCCTCCTCCTACCGACTAATAGATGCGTTGTCCAAGGAGCGAAGCAGAAGATGATAAGGGGGCGATGAGAACGCGAGTTTGTTCAGTCGTACACTCAGGACCAGCTGGGACTCCCAGAGCTGAAACAGCTCCGTTGTTAAAATTCCTTTTTTAAACATCGTTGGCCATACAGATGGCGCACTCGAAATGTCATTTTAAAGAACGCCGCTACGTATCCACACGCTAAAGTATTGCTTAGCCTACTCTGAAAAGAGATTTTGTATATTTTCCTACTGCGTCCCTAACGCTGATTATGTCTGTGGTAACCTTGTCATTTACGTTTCAAGGCCATGGAGCTTTGTAATGCGAAAGCCTTAGATACCGTAAAAAGCGCCAATGTTGACCGCTCTCTGCTTCTCGGCGCTTTCACGCGTGATGCAAAAGATCATCACCACGTGATGAGCATACCGCATGCCGTCATCACAACGTCACAGATCTCTCAATTTTTTCTTGTCACCTTGACGTGTCAGTGAAGTTAAATACGGTGACTTCGCGCGATGGTGTGGTCTCATGACTTTCGGCGCTTCGCCGAAGGTGTGCCACTCAAGGAACTACTGAGGCAGCTCCAAACTATAGGTGAGGTGCGAAACGTTTGCGATGCCTCTAATCTGGGAGGGAGGCAATGCGAAACTGCCTTACCTGCAGAAAACTTTCGGGATCGGGCGGAGGAGAAGCAGTACAACTACACAGAGGGAAGAGCGTGATTTTCACTTACGAGTCACCTTTGGCGATTCAATGAGGGACTCTTGTGAGCTTAACGAAAAAAAAATGAAAAAAAAAATTGGCTGCGCATACGCGTGCCTCGGTGCAAATGTCGAAAGACGATATTTATGTGCCAGACTTTTTTCTGTGTGTGTGCACAGCATCTTATTTTCAGCGCTGCCTACGAAACACTAAAGTAGTTAAATATATGTGTCTTCTAGTAAAGGAACACACCACATAATACTTATTCATTGATGGTGTGCCTCAGATACGCATTATAGTTACTTTTTGATCGGCAATGTTCAAAAGTATGAACGCAGCCACCGCTTCAAGATGTCTGGGCGTTTAGCAAGTGAATAAACATTGGCTGGGTGGCTGAGTCGTGTGACAAACAGACAAAGGTTTCTGCGTAGAATTATACTAAGAAATATCATTTAAAAATAATGCGGAAAACATGGGTTCGGAAAAAAGTGTTTCACAATTTAAAGTACTTTCGTACTAAACTGTGAGGAAGCAGTAAGTCGTTCCTATAACTTGTGCATTGAGTGGTTTACTTCCCAGGCCCTACATGAAAGGAAAAGAACTACACTCGTTCCTTTAGAAAAAGCTGTGAACGAGTTTGAGTGCTATACTCGGGGACAACTTTCTGTGACAATGAAGGGAAGGCTACGTGGGTGAAGCTACTGCTCGTGTACTTCTCCGCGAAGTAGTCCGGTTTGGCTCGCCTTTCGAACGACTGCCGCGTTCATGTAATCCCGCTGTACACAATTTGATACGCCTGCTTACACAGACGTTTGTGAGAGAAATTCGACCCAAGATCTTCCGGAGAGCCGTCGGAATAGCTGGAGGGTGACGCGCGCTCACCTAAAGACGAAGACGCCATTTTGACTGTGAAGTGCACGTAAAAAGTGCGACGTTTTCAGACGCGCGAAAACGTGAATGACTCTTCAGAAAGCAACAACAAATTATGGCATCTCCTCGGCTCGTGCCGCGCCTCTTTATGAACAGCAACTAGTACAAAATAATGTCGTTCTTTTTTATTACTTTCACGCTGAAAACACCTACGCATTCGTGGCACTATATTCTACAGCGGTTGCACATGTCCACTTTGGCTCTGTAGCCTCCCTTCATTGCCACAGAAAGTTGTCCCCGAGTATAGGTGCTCTACCATGGAAGAGCAAAAAGCCATCCCGTGGGCCTCGCATAAGCGGAGGTAATCAGCAAACGGCTGTATGCAGCACCAAGCGTTCTGGGACCTGTGGGTGTCACGGAATAAAATCTGGCACTCACGTGCTCGAATTCAGCCATCGAAAGCTGGTCGGTCGTGTGCGCAGTTTCATGCGCCGTGTTTAATAAACGATGCTCGAACGATCGTTGCTTTGCCGGCAATCAACGGCTTTTCATACAAGAATCTTATCTTTCATCGAGGTCATCGAAGCTTCACGTCACTGCACGTCGTCACGATTAATTGTTACCTGCACGCACGACCGTCGTTTTAGCCTCAAGCTATGAAGGTGCACGGATGATTGCCCCGTTTCCGGCATGTAGGCAGAGAACCAGTAACGTAGCCAAATTTTTTTTTCGGGAATGAGGTGCGCCTCGGTCATACTGCATGTATGTCCGTGCATCCGTTTGTATGTACACGGATATGTACATACATGTGAACGGGAAAAATTTCGGAGGTGGTTGAACCACTCCCCCATAGAGTTTCATACAATAACTAGAGACGAATCTGGTGCTGCGATCGTGTACCACCATGGGAATTATGGGAAGTACAGGCTTCGGTTCGGATAGTGTTAGCTAGCGAACTGCCTACAGATCTCTTTTTACAGTTTCAGTATCGTTCTTCACACAGCACGGGTAGTGTGTGATGAAAGACGCTGAAGAAGTGCCTGTGTTGTTCGAAATAAGTGCTAATACAACCAGGTTTCTTGGTTTGCTGCCACGTTGAAGCTTTACGAGTCGTCTTTGACAGTTTAAACAAAGCGTCGTCCACTCTCCGCTGCGCATAGATGTAGCGTCTCATGCCAGGGCAGGATATTTTATCGTGTTCATGTTTTTTTCCGGGGCTCGTCTTGTCTAGACTCATTCGAAATGACTGCAAAACGAAGGTGAAACAAAGTAGACGCACCGTCACGCTCCTTTGACTTTACTTCAGGACAAAACGAGAAGTAGGTTTGGGGCAGAGTCCCGGGCGACCACTTGGACAGATGCACCTGGCATCATAGCAGACGAAATGTTAAGTGTGTGTCACTTAATACTGTACTGTTAATTTCATGAATAGATAATGCGTACTTCTGAGGACAAAACAAGCATGTTTGTTTTTCAGTGTTGTAAAAAATAATTCATTATATCTTGACGTAAATCTGGAACGTAATGGCAGAACAATGCATACCCTGGTGGATAAATTTGTCCAGGTCTTACTTCTGCCTCGTGGTCACGAAAACACTTAGCAACAAGATTTACATACAAAAGAATGAAGCAATTTTCAATTAAATAAAACTTCATATTACTTTTTTTACATTCAGCAAACAAGCCTCGCGAATCTCAAGAATGTAGTCCGTCCAAAGCAGATCCGAAGCTTGTACTTCCCATCATTCCCACGGGGGTACACGCGCCGCTGAAGGAGTCCACGTAGACACTAGCACTAGATTTCGCTCTAGGTATTTTTGTATGAAACTCTATGCCCTCCCCCCACCCCTGGTTACGCCTGAATCGCGGAACGCGCTACATTCAAGGAGCTTTAAAAAATTGGCACCGTATCTGCATGGTAATCAGCCAATGTCGTCGAAAGATGATAGTCTTGCGTGTGGAGAGAGTGAACAAAACATTTATTTGATGTTATGCGCAAGAAAATTGGTGAATGGTATTCTGGAGGCGTGGCGTTGGAGTGCCTCTAGCGTGCAGCGGAGGTGAACGAGCGCATCAAATCACGTCACACGTGAGACATGAGAACCATCTGGCAGTGTTCTTGGAAAACGAAGCGCGTGGCTCTGAGACGGGTGTGCGCGCCCGTCTCAGCGGTGATAAGGTGTAGAGCGCAAGGCGACGGGTAGGTGCCACTACCGTCTCGTTTCAGCGAAGCGTTCGAAACACTCTCTTGTTCGTGCCAGCATCACATGGTTAGCGCGGCGTGATAAGCGCCACGGTCCTTAAAATTACCGATGTATGCCTTTTCTAGTAAAAGACGCACATGCAGACTATGTACAGATTTCTGGTTAACAATTCTATACCAATGCTTCACAGCACGCGCTCCAGAACATTGAGCTCTTTTTGAGAATTGTTAATCCTGAATCAGATCACAAACAGGTTTCCTTGATAGTAT